AACTAAACTGCTTTGAAAGAAATAATATTGGCTTTCTCCCATTATTCCTTTCTTTTCTCCCTTGTCCCCTTTCTTCTAAATCAAATTAATCTACTTTAAAAATAGAAAAGATAAGTGATTATATAATCTTCTAAGGGAGATAGGAAGCTGTGGGACATAAGGCACCAATGAAATGCTCACACATTGGGCGTATTTCAAAATTATGCATGCAAGTCCAGGTCTTTTGTGGCCCAGGACCACGGGAATGAAACAACTGGGAAGGGAATCTCTCTCCTCAGAGGCCCCAGGACGTAAAGCACCTTTGGAGGGAAAAGAAATGCTCCCTGAAGCCCAGGAAATGTCAAGATGCTGCTCTGAGCTCCTGACATGCAGAATTACAGCCCAGGGGTGACTTAATCCTGACACAGGAGAGGAAAAGGAAACTTGCACAAGCCCAGCTGTCACCTCATTCTGACTTTAAAAACCTTATTTGACTCATGCTTTTAATTGCTATACACACACACACACATACACACACACACCCCTCAATGACAAAGCCATTGAATTCAGGTATGAATTCAATAATGCTGTATTACAGGTATGAATTCAATAATGCTGTATTACAATAATGCTGTATTACAATAGAAATAGGGTATCCTCGGTGTTTAACTCTTTCCCTAAAAATCCCAGCTTCAATCCCCACCTCCCCTAATTCCCCCTCAAACAAAGGTTAGCTTTTGTCCAAAGACAAGTGAGTGGAGGAAAAGGAGAATCTTTGTGAAGAGAGTTATTTTAAGACACCACCAGCATTTGCATTTCTAAATTATTATGAGACAAAATGAAGGGAAAATTTTAAAGTGCATGTACATATATATATATATATGTTTTTAAATCTAATTTGGAGTCACAGCTGTAATTGCAAAAGCTTTGGATTGTGTGTCATGCTGGAATAATGTCGTGTTAGTGAATGTAAAGCATTCAGCATGACTTTACGCCTCACTGCACCCTAAGTGTGATGCTATTTCAATACAACACCTACCACTTTTAGGTCTTTATGTTTAAGTATGTCTTGCTGGATGAAATCAAGCTACAAATTGGATGAAATTGGGTCCTCCCAGTTGATTCTACTGCTAGATGCTCCAAAACCCAATTGTTTTCTAAGTCCAATTCTATGAATTCAGAATTTAAATTATCATGATTTCTTGCCCTGAAAAATAAATACAAAAGCTCAACTTGCTGTGGAGATGAAAGGCAGTGTTTTGGCCATAAAAAATGAAGTTAACTTTTTTCACACAGGCTTTTAAAATGGTTCCAAAATCGACCAAACAATACTAGAGGAAATATACCCAACAGGAATTTGAGACATGGAGTATCTACTCCGAAGGTCAAAGAAGTTCTTCACTCAAATGCTTCCATCCAAAATATTTCACCAAAAAACTTGTTCAGCTTCCTTTTATCCAGGTGTGCTAGTGCAAGTCACCCAGTGCCACCTCACTTTGTGGTGGCAGCAAATTTTCTTATTTTTAAAGACATTTTCAGGTCACAATGTGCTTCCATCTGGCAGGTAAAGATGCACTTCCCGAGATTTCTATGTTCACACAATCTGACCACTCCTCCCTAAGATTTATGTTTTACTAAGCTGTACATTGACTGGAGGGTCAATGGGTTATAGATTTTCAGTGTTTTAGAAAGAGTTAAAATTGAACTCAGCTAGGATTGAGTCTAGATTTGAAATGGTAATTATTACTGCTGTTTTTGAAGTTCAATAAATTAATTTTCAATAATCCCTTCACTGTAGAGACAGAAAGCTCTTCAAAACAGTCGTATTTTGCCTGGCAACATATTTGGTGGGACAGCTCTAATAAAGTGAATTGCTAAAAACAGGCAGAAGTTCTTGTTCCACACGCATAATTGGATTATGCTGAGTAAAGGCTGTATTTTTAAGAGGATACATTGGCTAAGTGGAGAAAAAATATGTACTCACCATGGACAAATATTGTAATAACTTATAGAAATCTGTGCTTGGTCCAACTCATTAAGAATGAATTTTCCAGCAGTTACCTTGAAGAGAAAGTAGGCTTCCAGTGGCATTACAAAGAGATGCATTTATAATTGTTTTCAGTGAAAGAGATGATGCATCAAAAATGCACTGAGTAAAAACATTCCGGTAAATGAGAGCAGCACTGTGTACAAACTAAGTCTTCACAGGGAATCTAATGATTTAGACCACATAGCCTTGAGCCAATTGAATGAAATTAGACTGGACCAGAAGATGAAGCAGTGCCATCAATACAGGATATAAACAATTCCTCAATAAAAACCACTACTACTACCATTTTGAGTCACTGAAGATGTAAAACTGGTACTATTTCCTGTGCAAATGGGGTCCTGTTTCAACAGCCCTTGCCTATGCCCATGACCCCAAGATTTTACCTATTTCTCTTCTATCCACTAGGTTAAATGATTATGTTTTTACATTTAGTTATTTCATCACTTTGGTTTTAGTTTAGTGCACGGTGAGAGATATGGGTCCGGATTTAATATGTGGAAAGCCAGTTTTACCAGCACCATTTGTTAAAGAGGCTATCTTTCCTCCAGTGTATTTTCTGCCCCTTTGTCAAAGATCAAAGAGTTGAATATGCTTGAGATTGTTTCTGAGTCCTCTATTCTGTTCTATTGATCCTTCTATACAGCAAAAGAAAACCAGAAGAACGAAAAGACAAGCTACAGAATGGAGAAAAAATTTTACTAGCTAATCCTCAGACAGAAGACTATAAAGAACTCAAAAAAAAAAAAAGCCCCACAAATTAAAAAAAAAAAGCATAATCAGGTGAAATGAATAAACACTTCACCAAATAAGAAATATGAATGGGCAATCCATACATTAAGAAATGTTCATGGGGCTGGGGGTTTAGGTCAGCGGCACAGCACCTGCCTGCCAAATGCGAGGTCATGAGTTTGATTCCCGGTACCAGAAAAAAAAACCAAAAAAAGAGAAAGAGAAATGTTCAACATCGCTGGCCATAAGAGAAATGTGAATTAAAACAACAGTGAGATTCCATTTTATGCCAGAAAGAATGGCTATCATCAAAAAATCAAACAGTAAGAAATGCTTGCAAGACTTCAGGGAAAAAGAAACCCTTCTACACTGTTGGTGAGAATGCAAACTAGTACAACCACTATGGAAATCAGTATGGGGATTCTGTAAGAAAACTAAAGTTATAAACCCTATTTGACCCAGATATCCTTCCTCTGGGTATTTTCCCAAAAGAGTTGAAGACATCATATTATAATGATACATAAGCACCCACACTCATAAAAGCACAATTAATAATAGCTAAATTTGGAAACAGCACATATGTTCATTAACAGATGAAACGATAAAGAAAATGTGGTATTTATACACAAAGGAGTATTACACTGTCACAAAGAAAGATAGACTTGAGTTAGTTGTAGGAAAACACCCCGGATACACCCTGATACCATAATACTAAGTGAAATACATCAGACACACAAGTTTAAATATCACATGGTTTCTCTTACATAAGAAACGCAAAATAAAAATAAAGAGCAAAATAAAAGACAGATACTGCAATAGGAAATAGGGAGACAGATCTTTTTTGAATGGGAAGGGAACCAAGAGATGGAAGGAGAGGTGAAGAAAGGGAGGAAAAGTAGATGTAAAAAGGAATTAAGATGTGTATGGGGGCTGGGGATTTAGTTCAGCGGCACAGAGCCTGCCTGGCAAGCGCAAGGTCGTGATTTTAATTTCCGGTACTGGAAAAAAAAACCAACCCAAAAACCAAAAAACAAGATGTGTATATACACGTACTAACTCCACACACAGAATGGAAACATTATGTGTTGCAAACATACACTAGAAACAATTTTAATAAGAAGTAAAATTGTAAGGAAAGTTACAGACCCAGATATTTCAGGGGGCTGGAAAAAAGCCCTGACAAAACAGCCCTCTCTGAACCACATTGCCAAGAACAAGCCCACTGAATAACTGGGCTCATGGAGTAGTTTATGACTGTTTTCTACCTGGCTACGATTTCTGCTTACAGATGATATCACATTATCTAGCTTCTCTTTTTCTTTGCCCTTATTGTCATTACTACCTCTTCATTTTGCTTGGCTAATGTAACCATAGTTTTCCAGTAATCTAAGAGCTAGTTCTGAGCTTGCCTTCTAAATCTCTTCTGCTAAGTCTGAACACATGCCAGGATACCTCTATAATTAAGCAGGAAAGTCCATTGTGATAACTCTATGTATTTATTTTATATATGGACCAAGACAATGAGTAAAGTCTGTTCAGTCCCTGTCCAAACCCTAAACCTTCCCCAAAGTACAGTTTGGAAAATGATAGGTGTGTGGGGAAACCAAAAATCCAGGGTGGCAGTGCACTAGACAGAGGGGCAGACATCCTTGGAGCCATGATGTGTGTAGAAGGAAGTGTTAGCTGGCTAAAGGTCCAGTCAGAGGAAGTCTTTCATGTAGAATGTATTAGAGTAGAATATTTTATGTTCTGTTCTTCGGTTCCCTCAAACTGCTATGAGACTATTTTTTGCCTCATTGCAGTAGAAATCAGCACAAAGTTACTCATGTCAAAAATGATACCAGCACACTGCGGAGAACCATTGGAAGGAGGAGATACACCAGCCACCCTGGAACAGTGACTTCACTCTCTGAAATTCCAAGAAGCCTGCAGAGTTATGGCTTCCAACAAGAAGGACTGAAAATTGTAAGTAATGAGTTCAAACTGTGAGTATAGGCACACACAGCAGATGTATTTTCCACAGATGTATATATAAAGTATGTTTCATTTTGTTTTGTTTTGAAACAGAGTCTCTTTATACAGTCCAAGCTAGCCTTGAACTCAAGTCAGTCCTCCTGCCCCAACTTTCACAGTACTGGGATTACAGGGTGTGCCCCTACACCAGCCATCTTTTTATGGACAAAATGTGTATATACATTTGACACTCACTATTTATGAATTTTATTTTTGTGAAGTTGTTTGCTTGCTAAAATTTATTGATCGCTCCCCCAAATCAATACTTACAGTATGTATGTGGTCATCTGCAGACATGCTCAGAGCAGGGAAAATGTTGTGTCTCCTGATCTCCATGTTCCTGGCTGAGTGGGACACTCTAACGTCTTGTATCAGCTCTGCGCTGTAAACAGTGGGCCTGTCATGAGCTATTTACTGCCACATTCCCTGCTTCTGTGCTTCTATTGCTCACTCCACTCTTTCAAATTGTCCTTAAATATTGTCTGCTGCAATTCATCAGCACAAGAAGGCTGGGATGTTCCTTTCAGAGACAAACTGTTCAGGTGTGCAATATAGTGTAGTTGGTTTTAGGTCAAAGCTGGTAAAGCATCAGTACATTCTAAATACAGTGTCTTTAAATAGAAATGCATGTAGTAGAAATGCTGTGTTGATCAGTTGTTGAAAATATTATGAGCAAAGGCTTCCAAGAAGATGATCCTGCGTTTCCCCTTGGAGTCACGGCTCTGTATACTCTAATCAGTGTCTATGGAGAATCTATAAAACATGATAAGAAGTGACTATGAGTGACTGTGTGTTTTGCATGTGTGTGTTGTTTTTATTTATGTCACAGACGTACAATATTACACGTGAAAGAACCAGCCACCAACATAGGCAACTTTAAAAATAAATCAGATATTACACCATGAAATAAATTTCAGTGAATTGCAAAGGATTATCTTATCAAACAGGTTTTCAAATATGATGCAAAAGGTATAAAAATTTAAAACAAAATTAGAACTTTAAAATACCATATTCAGAAATATATGATTTTATATTTACAATATCTTTATATTGCTACCTGGATTATAAAGTCAATCATAAAGGCCTTAAAGAAATATTATAACTAAATAATAAAAGGGAGCATGCAAAAATTTGTGAGACACAAGAAAAAGAACATAAATTTAATTATAGTTTTATATGCATATACTTAAAATTAGATTTTAAGTAGTACTTAATAATTATATGAAGAAAAATTTAAAACTGAACACATTAATATGGGCTGAATAAATAGAGAAGGATTTCCTTTGTTTGTATAAGACAACTTAATATTATAAAAAAATAAAAAACTATCTCTAATAACTGTACAGCTTCAATACAACTCAACTCTATTTCCACCCGAATGTATTGATACATACATTTTAAATTTATATAGATAACAAAAGACGACAAATGCCCTTAAGACATATATAAAAAAAGAATAATGAGGGGAGACTTTTGTAATGAGGCAGGAAGATAAGCTGGTAGAGCATAGTAATGAATGTCATACATTAGCCCAGAAACCGACAAATAGGCCAAGGAATGGCAAGAGAGGACTAAGACGTAAAGGAATGTGTATCTGAAAACTTTCTATGTTTTCATTCATGGAAAAGAAAATTTACACTTAGATGGTGAGCAGAAAGTGGCTCGTGTTGTGCAGCAAAATAAAACATGTTCACAACGCTGCATTCAAGTTTGGACTTTGAATGAATTAAACCAATCAAGTTAATAGGAAAATAATGAAGGAAAATGCCACTGTCACTGAAATAGGTAAAGAAAATCATTTTAAAGAAAATTTTTAAAAGAAAAAGCATAAGCCAAATTATGAGTGGCTAATAACCCAGTGTGGGTAATAACCAGACCCCTTCCAAAAGTAAAAGATATGATATAGTAAAGAAATATATCTGTACTATGTAAAACAGTGATTATTAAAATAGGTTTAAAATATTACAAGCCAGCAAAAAGACAGGAACTCCATTTTATACACATATCAAAACCCTAAGTTGTACACTTTGATTATATATGATTTTTGAATATTTGTCAATTACATCTTAATTGAACTGGAAAAAATAAAATAAGTACAAACAAAATACATATGACATTTTTAAGGGAGGAAATTAAGAAAAACAGCAACAAAGTTAGAAAAATGCTCAAATTTATTAGTAGTTAGAAAATGAAAAGTAAAGCAACAATTTATTTTGTTGGAAAAAGGTAAACCAGAATTTCATAACAAAATAATAGAACAATAGTAGTTGATACATTGCATGTTATCATCCTCTAGTAGTTACTCAGAGTACAAGACATAGGCATAAAGAATTCTCCAGTTGATACTAGCATGAACCTTCCTTTTCAGTGAACTTAGAGACACTAATAGTAAAGCTACCTTGCATTTGTCTCCCTTTTCCCTTCCTTCCTTTCTTCTTTCCGCCTCCTATTTCCTTTTTCCTCTTAAACGATTACTTCCCATTTCACAAAATCTATTGTACATTGTAGACCTTCTTTCAATTTTTCACAATAGGGAGACAATACGATGTTTATGCATGTGAGTCTGATTTACTTCACTTATGAGTATGGTCTCAAGTTGCATTCATTTACCTGTAAAAGTTTCAAATTTATCCTTCTTTATGGCTGAGTAGTATAACATTGTATAAAAAAACCACATCTTTTTCATTCATTTCTCAGTGGATGGGCATTTGTGTTGTTTCAAAGATTTATCTATTATAAATTGTGCTGCTATAAACATGGGTGCACATATATTGCTGTGGTATGATGTTTTTAATTCTTCTGGGAAGATACCCAGAAGGGAAATAGCTGGGTCGAATGGGACATCTAGTGCTACTCTTTTGAAGAATCTCCACACTGATTTCCACAGTGATTGCACCAGTCTACACTCCCACCAAAAGTGGAGAGTGTTTCTTTTTCCCCAGACCCCTTCCAGAATTTGTTGTTGGCTGATTTCTTGATGGTAGCCTTTCTTTCTGGAGTGATATGAAATCTCAATATTGTTTCAATTTGCATGTCTCAATGACCAGTGATGTTGAACATCAAATGGGACCTCTAGCCCTAGTTTTTTGAGGACTCTCCACACTGATTTTCAAAGTGGTTGGAACAATCTACAATCCCACCAATAATGAATAAATATTCCTTTTTCCCTAGAGCCCCACCAGCATTTATTATTGGCTGATTTCTTGCTAATAACCATTCTTTCTGGGGTGAGATGGAATCTCAGCATTATTTTAATTTGCATCTCTCAAATGACCAGGGATGTTGTACAATTTTTCATATATTTGTTTGCCATTTGTAGTTCTTCATCTGAGAAGTGTGTATTCATCTCAGATGCCCATTTTTGGATTGGGTCTTTACATTTGGGGAGTCTGACTTTTTCAATAACAATTATTTTTCTTTACACTGGGAAAAACTTGAAAACTGGGCTCCACGTAGTGATACAACCTGTAATTCTAGCTGCTTGGGAGTTTGAAGCAGGAGGATATCCAGTAGCAGGAAAACCTGTGAAACTTGGCAAGACCCTGTCTCAAAGTAAATGTTTCAAAAATATAAAGGATTGCAGATCTACCCTGGTAGTGGTAAACTTGCCTAGCATGTGTGAGTGTGGGCCTGAAATCAATCTTAGGTACCACAGTAAATAAATATATTAGAAACTTGGGAAACACCAAATGTTAGGGAGGATTTGGACATAAAATTAAGAGACTTTCATACATTCAAATGTTGGCTTTGTCACTCTGGGCAACAATCTTATACTATTAAGTCATGTTTTGAATATTTATGTGCAATTATCCTGCAATCCCAAAATTTGTACACAAGGTTAAACAAAGTTCCTCACATAGCCAAGCATGGTGGTGTACTCCTGTAATCCCAGCACTCTCAAGGCTGAGGCAGGGGGGTCATTGCATGTTCAAGACCAGCCTGGACTGCAAAGTAATTTAAAGGGCCAGCCTGAACTATACAGTGAGACCCTATCTCAAAAAGACAAAAAGAAGTTCCTCACAGCATTATTGTTGGTGAAAATTAGTAGAGGCAGGTAGCATATCTACCACTGTGAGAGAAGACCGGGCTAGACTTACATAAATGGATTTGCTAACATGCTATACCATAGTTAAGAAGAGCAGATTAAATATCTACCTAGTTACATAGATTTTTGTAAAAGTACTGCATATGAAAGCAATAGAAAAAGTAAAATGTATCTCTAATATTTTTATATAAATTTAAAATGCACAACAAGAACATGATAATACAAACTTGATGTGTTTTTTGTTTTGTTTTGTTTTGTACTGGGAATCGAACTCAGGATCTTGCACTTGCCAAGCAGGTGCTTGTGCTGCTGAGCTATATCCCCAGCCCAATAATACAAACTTGAGTGGGTGAGTAAAAGCATTCTATGATATCAAGGATGTAATTTATTTGACCCTACACAATTGGTTTACAAGTCAATAGCTTTAAAAATTATACTAGACTGATAGAAGAGGATCAAAAATTTGTACCTAGCCAGAGCCATTCAGGGATTTATCTAAAAAAAAAGAAAAGAAAGAAAACAAAAGAAAAGAGAAAAGAAAGACTAGAGGAGAGGTAACTCTTTGCAAAAGTCCTGAATTCAGTCCCCAGTACTGCCCCCCAAATTGCATTGGAAGCTATGACATTATTGTAGACATTCATGCCCAAAGATATGGTATGTGAGTGAGTCAGGAAGCTCTTTATAAAAAGAATGCTTGGTCCAAGAAAAATCGCTGATAATGCTTCTCAGTTATCCAGTCTGATTCTATCAGGAGTGTGTCGTCCCTCTCAGGGTTCATGCTGTACACAGAACACTGGTGAATGGCAGCACCTCTTGGATGAAGAGCTTGGTTGGCATGAGATCACTTCGCAGTTCAAAGAGTAGGGAGGTAAATGGAACCATTCGAACTGGACACATACTAGGTATACATATTTCTCTTCAATTAACTTTTGCGCTCTCATAGAGTCACAGCATATTGCTTCTGAGTGTAAAATCAACAAAGGATTCTGGAGACAAGCAGATTTCAAGTGCAAACAAAGGGGAAAGGACTACGAGTGAGAGGAGTCCAAAGAGGGCCTTGTCATTGGATGAGATTCTTGCCTGGCATTTTTCAAGCAGAAAGCAACTGTCTTATACAAGAATCAGAGCAAGATTCTGATAGTAGAAGTCAGCATAAAGGCGGTGGTTGGACTATGCCCTTTACACACTTTACAGTTTCATAAATCTAAAATTTAAACCATGAAGAAAATGTAAATATTGAGCACTGTTCCTTTATATCAAATTTGGATTAAGTAATGAGGGCTATGACTAAATCAATACCCTGTACTGAAAGGAAAAGAAAAGAAAAGAAGAGAGGATTCAAGGATTTTCCTTCCCCTGGACTCTGTAACACTGCTGTGTCTTCCTTGTTCTTCACTCCCCACCGAGGGTACTGAGGAGACACTGTGATGGCTCCAGGAATTTCCCCACACATGGGGTTATTTTCATACCTATGATTAGAAGCTCTCCACAGCCAGGAGCACATAGCACAGGCATCTCTTTTTCTCCACCAAGCTGGAGGAAAAAAACAGGGTGTAAGATATTCAGAGCTGAAAAAATTCTCCACATCAACCTTATGATTCAAATTTCTGTAACCAAATTGACCATGAGCCTTGTAGCCTGAGTTCCCTGAAGAATTGTATCATCCCTAACATCACTGAAATTTGAACTGTTCATGAGGTGTATTAGCTCACAGTGTCCACAACACTAAGCTTTCTTGTCAAGCTCTGTTTTCTTGATCAAATTAAACTGGGCCTTAGGGTATTAAGGGACTCTTGGAAGCAAATTCTAACAAGGCTAGGATGTCAGAACTTTTAAACTGGATTTTGTACATAAATGAGGAAGGATGAATCTTACGTTGCAATCTTGCAGGCTTTTTAGAATGAATGATGAATTTTCTTTAGTATTAGTGTGATGATTTACTAAAAATAAAACTCAAGTCTAGAAACTTCTACTTTCTTCATTTATTGGTTAAAACTACTAATGCATACTTCTTTTGCACTTCTGATAGAATCTCCTTACATAACAGTATGTCCTATTTTACTAAATTTGATGAAAGGATCAGAAACCTATCTGCACAAGATTAGGCAAAGAAGCAATAATAGCACCATGGGAATGAGATTCATGATGTTACATGCCTAAGCTCTGTGTGCCTTGCTCAACTCAAAGCCCTTCTAGGGGTGAAATTAGCAGGACAATTTACTAATGGTCAGGGATCAACAAAGAATAATTTTCTGACCAAATCCAACCTAGCACTTGTTACTAAAAGTAAATACTACTAGAAAATAGCCATACCTCTTGATTGGCCATACACGGCTGCTTTGGTGGCTCAAATTCATTAAGTAATTGTACCCAAGACTGCATGACCCACAAACTTCTAGTATTTTATATTTAGCCCTTGCAAGAAAGCTTTGTCAACTCCTGCCCTTCAAGCTCTGAAGACCTGGGAAACAGATCTGGGACCTTTGGTCAACCCTCAAGTAAAAGCCGGTAGAGGTAGATAACAGGTGTGACAAAAGCAGGAGAGGAAGATACCACATCAAGACAGCCAGTAACCTAGAAGAAAGCATTCATGAGCGTGTTACTGATTTTCTCATCGTATGTGTGAGGACTAAGGGCTTCTCTTTTGTTCTCCACTCCAGGAGGCCTTGGGGACACAAATGAGGACAAAGGAGATAATAATCTCTTTCTATATCTTGGAATGGAAACCACATATAAATACATATAAAATTATTTAAAAATACAACTGTCATTTACCTTAGGGTGCTGTGAGAAACAAAATCTGAGAAGTTTAAGGTGATGTTGCTTTTCTAGTTGCTTGTCTGTTTGTTTTCTTAACTTCATGTATCCCTTGAGGTAACACCAACCCTCTTCCTGCAGGGTATTTCATCTTCTCCCCTCTAGACCTGAATTCATGGGAAGTCTTCCAAGTCCACTATCTGGCTTCCCACAGGGAAATAGCATGGCAGCTGGGTGAACTAGAGTAGCCCATGCTCCCAGGCAGAGACTGGTGCAGCAATAGGACCATGACTCAAGTCTACCTTATCATAGACCTGCTCCGATATGGACTTATTGTGTGAAGGAAAGTTGTTCTTTTCCCTTCCACTTGCACCTTGGTGCAGTAAAAATATCCACCGAAAACTCCAAGGAGGATTATTCTTTCTTATGACTGGGAAGAGAAACATAGATATGCAGAGAGAAAGACAGAGAAGGATTTTATGACATTTAAGATCCTGAATTCAATTGTCCCTGGTGACAATGATAAACCAGAGTTGATCAGAAAATGATGGATTTCACTTGTATGGTCTAGGGATAAATTACCCTAGATATTCATTTACAAAAAGAATAATTGTTCTTTGGGAATTGACTTTACTCCAAAATTATAAAAAAGATAGATTTTCTAAAAGAATATACCTCTGTAATTGGGAACAAGGAGTGTGTGTGTGTGTGTGTGTGTGTGTGTGTGTGTGTGTGTGTGTGTAGCACCTATAGAGAGGTAGGCATGAAGGAAAAGAATGGAAATTAAGTGTGATATAAATCCAAGTAGTCACTGAGCAGATTGCACTCTTTCACGTGATACTATCAGGTACCTCCTGCCCTCAAAAATCATTTTTACTAAAATTAGAATAATATACAAAAAAGAATAAAAGAGGTTATCTACAGGAATTGGGAGTGGTGAGTCAGAAGAGTGAGTAAAGCAATATTTAAACTTGAAAGCCTTCAGGTCACTTCGACTCTGTAGCCATGTGCACAGATATCACCTACTTAAGAAATAAGGTAAATGGTTATGGGTATGCTTCCCTCCTCTGTAAAGAAGAATTTAGTGGAATAGTTATTCATTCCTTCTCTCTCAGGTTGAACTTCCAGAAACTTCCACATATTTCTTAATGCATCTGCTCTAACTTCTATCTCCAATCAGATCAACATAAAATCCTTGCTAAGGTCCCTAATGATGGCCTGCCCACCAAATCCAATTACAGATCTTCCCTTTCTTGGTATCCTGGCATTATTGCCTGTGCTGAACTTTGTGAAACTCTCCTTGGATTCTGGAGCCACACTCTGTTCTTGTTTACCTTATGCTTGCCCAATCCCCTTGTCTAATTTCCTTTGTGGATTTCCTCCTGTAGGCATGCACTTACACCTGGAATTCCCAGGCTGGACCCTAGAGCCCTTCTCGTTCTGTATTCTCTTACATTCATTAATCTCATCCTCCACCCCCACGTTAGTTGCCATCAATGCATTGGAGACTATAAAATTATTAGCTTGAATTCAGAGTGCTCTGATGAATTCCAGGCACATGTAGCCATCATTTCTTTCAACAATTTTTTTCCTCACAAGTCACAAATGAACTTCAAACATAACATATAAATTAAGGCTTTGTGAATTTTTCTTCCTAACATTTCAGTTCCCCCTGTTGCTGTAAATGACATCAGCATGGTTAAAGGCGGAAATCTGGAAGTCATCCTTGTTTCTCCCTAGCCTCCATTCCACAATTCAATCTATCACAAACCATATGGATTTAAAATAGTAGTTCTCAAAGTGCTGTTTCTATCCTGTAGCATCAATATCACCTGTAAAATGTGAATTATTTGGGTTCACTCTTCACTCCCTAAATCAGAATTTAGTGCCCAGGAATCTGTAAAACACAGTAAGGTGAAAAACTCCTGAAATAACTTTCTAAGAAATTTGTTAACTTTTCTTAATTTCCTCTGACATCTATGTAGTCAAAATCCCACCAGTCCTTAGGCATTCAGCATCTATGGTAGACACCTAAAAGATCATAAATACAGATGCTCTGTCCAACTCATTTCACTTGTACGGAGAAAAATGTCACATCTTTTCCCATTTTAACTAATCAAGTCCTTCATTGCCACTAAAATCTTTACCCACTTTCAGCCACCCAGAGTCAACAATACCTGCTCAGAAATGCCATTCCATAGTCTTCCAGAAAGCCTATTCATCTCTACTGTTTGGGATTCTTTCCTCTACAAACATGGTAGAAATTTCTTAGATTAGCTGGCCTGTGGGTACGAGAATTCAGCATCCTCCTTTAGGTGCTTTTGATCAGCTTTGTAGGGTCTGCAAAATCCTTTATTCATTAGTTCAACACTGGTCTATTTCACACAACTGCATGGCAAGAGCAATGTTAAGGCTTGCAAATTCAAAATTAATAGGGGTCTGGGTTTTACTACACTGTTTCCAGTCTGTTGGAAGGACAGTAAATTGGTATTAAGGCTAAGAAGATAAATAATAAGTGGGTAACTGAGGGGAATGAGCAAAGGGAACAGCCAAATGACAGTGTAAAGAATAATGAAATACTGACAGAAAGCATCTGCATGTAGAGCAGCAATGGACACAGGTGGAAGTAGGTGGTGGAGAAGGAAACTGGTACAAGTGCCCCATGGGGGGCAGGAACCAGATGCTAATGATGGGCCACTTAAAGGACCCTTGGCTGCTAAAGAGAAGAAGGAGGCAGAGGTGCAGGAGTCGAGAGAGAGGAGAACCAGCTCCCTGGGGCTTCCCAAACCACTGGAAGCAACTTGGGTTTATTCTAAAGACGACAGCTAAATTATTCTAGCTATTCTTCAAAAGCATAGATATGAAGAAGGATATGAGTGGCCCTACTGAAGACCAAGGTGAGAACACAGAAAATTCTCCTGCTCTTTGGAGAGTCAGTGTGTCTATTCAGATATACCAAGAATGGAGGCTAAGTTGCTTCACACCAACCCGTTTCCCAGAGAAGCTAAGTGTTTCTTTAAGTATCTTTTGCTGTTGTTTGTTTTTTAGACCTGTGATCTTCTATCACCCAAAGAATCAATTAGTGATGGTTTTCAGTCCCGTTTCTGGCTTGGTCATCTCAATCACATGTTGTTTTAATTCGTATTTTATTTTAAGCTTCATTTCTGCCATTCTCCTTCGTTTATTTTAACATGAGTATGCTCAGCAGGCGAGTAGCTATATTTGTCAAGCCACCCCCTGGTCTTCCTAAAAATAAATAAATAAATAGCTAACTAGCTCTTAAGTGACAGAAAAGTTAATTGTGTAAAGTAACTAAGTTATATAGTCTCCTCGTACAAAATGTCCCGTCATGGGTACTCTGCCTATGTTTGGCCTTCTTTTCTGCTACCAGGAAGGGAGACGGATGTACAGGTGGTGTACACAGCTCAGAATTAGTGTAGCGAACGGAGCCCTAGGTGACTCTGTGGTACAACATCTTCTGTTTCCCTGTAAAGGCTAAAGGAATCAGACAGGATGCTTCATAACCCATGCACTGGAGCAGTGCTCCGGCTTCAGTTCCCCGAAACTAACTGGCAATATGATCACAGAGCACCACCTTCAACAAAGAAGCATGAAGCATGCCTAATAGCCTTTTTTTTTTTTTCAACTTGCTTGCAGCTATTTCAGCTGTAGCATTATTTCCAATTCAGGAAATGTTTTCCAATGCAAGGAAAAAATAGAGATATTTTTAACTACTCTGTAAAAAGAAACCTTGCTTTTCAACTTTGTTCTGCTCCTGATGTCAAAGCAGATTGCCCAACTAATTAGGGTCCTAAGGTCTCAGGCAGAGTCTAAGCTTTCCTGTAGCCTTTGCCTCGACCTTATTTACAATCCACGCAGCCTACGGATGCTTTTCAATTATCAGCCAGGCTAATTCACAGTTTAATTTCTTCTCTCCTAGCCAAATGGTCTTTCTTTAAAATCACATATAATCAGTAAACCATGAGGATAAAATCTGGAGCTCTGTGGGCTGCATGTAAGAGTTTGAAGCCTATCTCTCATGTAGCTTCAGGGAAGCTACTAATTTGTGTGGGAAACCATTGCCAGATTAAAATAAAAGATTATCTGTTAAATTTGAATTTAAAATTAGGCATAGCATTTTGTAGTCAGATCATCCTAGGGTAGTTTCGTCCACTCTCAATTTGACAACTTATCTTGGACCTTAGTTTTTGTAAGTGTAGAATGAGTATAACAGAGGAGCTGTGAGGTTTAAATTAACCCAGTTGGGGCTGGGGAGATAGCTCAGTGACACAGTGCCTCTCTGGCAAGCATGAGGTCATGAGTTCAATTCCCAGCGCCAAAAAATATAAATATAAATAAATAAGTAAACCCAGTTGAAACATTATAATTATTGTACCTGGAACCTGGTGAATCCTCAGTAATTCTTACTACTGTGCTTCTGTTATCTCATCTTCTGAAAGGTAAATAAGAAAAAACGGGACTATCTACACAATACTTCCTACACACTACGCAAAGAGAGCGTGGATACTGTCACACACAGATTTACCCAACTGATAAATTCTTTGTTAGAATCAGGCCCATGCCGGGGACTAACTACTGTCATTTTGTCTTACACTCTCATGTGCTATAATTGCTTGTAAGTCCTATTTTGTAGAACAAGAACTGAGGCTCTGAGAAGACAGGTCACTTGCTGTAAGACACAAAGGTAGCTGCTGGTAAAGCTGGGATTTGCTTTATGGGATACCAACATACAGGTTACTTTTTTCTATTTGTTAACCAGTGTCCCAGAATGAAATAAAATAGAGTATTAACCAAAAATATTAAGGAAACTGTTTGCATTTTAAGGAAAAAATATAAATTCCTATCTTCATATCACTTTAAAAAATTGCAATGACCCGGCACCTTCATTTGATGCAATTATCTCACAATAGCCCTCAAACAGAAGCATCAGTAGTCATCCTGTTCTTAAAAATGAAGTGGTGAAATTCAGGATGGAAATTCAAGTGTTGTCACCTCTTAGGGTCCCATAATAAAACACTACAGACAGAAGAGGTGAAATGCAAGAACTGTATTTTCTCACAATTCTGAGGTGCAGGGGTTCAAGATCAAGGTAGTAGTGGGATGAGTTGCTCCTGAGGTCTTTCTACTTGGGGTGGAGACAGCTGCCCTCCAGCTGTGCTCTCTCATAGTCTCTTCTCTGGTGACGAGCTATCCTAGTGCCTTCCTCTCTTTAGAAAGACAGCAGTCATATGGGAGCAGAGGCCCACACTCAAGACCTGGTGTCACCTACCACTTTCAGGGATCTCTGTCTAGCTACAATAACATTGTGGATCAGGCCTTCAACATCCAAATTAAGGAACTGGAAACCAATTCAGTCCATATTACCCGGTTTTCTTATTTGTGGTTCCATCCACATTGTTCCATCCACATTGTTCCTTCCTGGAAGTACCTTCAAGGAGAATTATGTTGTGGGTACATTTGATGCTACATTTTTGTTTGAAAAAAATATGTGCAATGACAATGGATTTTGATTTTTGAAGTATAAGGCTTCAGAATAGGACCATTTTCCCATTCAATAATCACACGCTTTGCATCAGATCCACACAGTACCTTGGATGAAGAGCAGAACAGTGACTCTGGGAAGAAACCAGTCACAGCTAATAAAATAACTGTGCCAAGAAGGATCAGGAATTGTCAACTCATTCCATGCCTGTGTGAGAAAGACCACGGTGAGGCAGGCACTATCTTACTCCAGTACCTTCCACTCTGAAATTTTGTCTGCGTTGCAGAAAGTGTAGCAGCACCCTGTGGGTCACACACCAACCACCACACGTACCTACAAATGCCCCGGTGGAGATTAATAGCTGGGTATGCTGAATGACTGAGCGGGAGATGCACAAGGCTACTGGTTGCTCCTGAAGCCAGGTGGATTCTGTGACATAGGCTGCCCTGTGTGCATTTAGTAACAGCATGAACCAGCGAGGGAAGCTATTATGGGAGCTGTTGGAGAAGAAATCTGTAAGAAAAAAAATTTTTTAAAAAATCAACACTTAGTGAATGCGGGTACAGAGCATTTAATATGGACACCACTATAAATGATTTGAGCTTCAATATTGGTTTTGAAAAACACAGTCTGTACGGTGGTATTTTTATAGTCAGTGTCAAGCATAGTCGTTTTTAGTTACAGCTTGCATAACAGTTCAAGATAAATCAAAGTGAACTGCTCTGAAGGAAAAAAATATATAGCACAGACTTGCTAGTACTATAATTGCCGCTTTGGCCAAAGGCTACTTTACATTGTGCCTACCTAACACTTTGGTAATAAATATTTATTAATTGTTGATTATTTGCCAAATACTATCCAAGGTTCTAGGAATGTATCAATGAATAAAACACAGCTCTACCAGGCAATATGCCTTTCATGGAGAGAAGCACCAGCAATCTGGGATGTCACAGGCTAAATGACATAGGAACTCTATTCTCTGGGTTCTGTGAAAGAGCACCTGTGTTTGCCCTGGCTAAAGGAAATCACGATGGGTTTACCAATGAGATGGTATCTAAGCACACATCTATGGCCTCGAAAGAGTTGCGCAAGGAGCTTGCAGGAAGAGCCATTTACAAAGTAAACACAGCCTGGGAAGCCATGACTGGCCGAGAGAGGGAAGCAGTGCATGCTGAGAAAAGGTGCTGGAAAAGTTTTCCAAGGTGTTTGGGCACAGTGAAGAGGAGTTTCAATTTTATCCTGGAGCAGTTGATTGCTTTTCAAGAAGGTTAAGAATGAGAGCGGCACTGGGATAGAGCTCAAGAGCACAGTGCCTGCCTGGCAAGTGCGGGGTCATGAGTTCAATTTCAGGTACCAAAAACAAACAAACAAACAAAAAGCCAATAATGAGAGTGGCATGTTGTGTTGTTTTTGTCTTGTTATAATTCTTAGAAACCCCTCCAGTTCACTCGGAGTGTATTATATAAAAACATGAATATGGAAGAAAGATCAGGTAAATCTCTGAAATAATGGTGTAAGATTATGGTAGTCTAAATAAAAGCATCAAGTGCGTCAATTTGACAGGTTTTAAAGAGATGACAGAATAAGGGATTCGATCAGATGTGGGAAATGAAGAAAAGGACTAAATATGTTTCCCAACATCTAAAATTAGGCAACTTGTGAATCATAGAGTCAATGGCTAAGAACAAAGAGCAGATTAGAGGAAAAACAGTCAGGGGTGTGGGCAGAACATTACTGTATTTCTTATTTCTGTTTCTCTCCTGGACATCTGCTGAAACAAGTGTGGAGAGAGTGATTCCCCAGGGCTCCCTGCATATAGCACACATCAACTGGACCCCTCCGGACCCACATTTGGGTACCAGAAGATCATGGCACTGGGTGCAGGGTGTGGACTTTGCATTGCAAACAGGCTCTGGCAATGAACCCTAATGTTCCTCAGGCCCCATGGTCTCTGCTTTGAAACTGTTCCATTTGGGGGCCTATGCTTTCTGAGCCTGAGATGGAAGGGGTAATGTTAATGATCCCTGAACCACTTCAGTTGGGGAAGTAGGTCACTCTCTCCTTGTTTGAACAATCCTTCTGGCATCTGTGGAGATGGCTGACTACTTCTGCTTTGTCTTAATTTATAACATCTGGCACCTGTTGAGATAGCCGATCTCTACTAACATCCTCATCTCGACCTCAGTTGATCACACCTGCATATCTCTCCTGAACAGCCTTTTTCAATTTTCTCCATATTGTGGGCTGAGACTTCTCCAAACCTTTAAGTTATACTTTTGATTAGGAACTCCATTTTTCACATTGTTATCTTCAGCGGAGTTGCTCAGATTACCAGATGTAAGAATACAAGATTGATCAAATCATTAAAGGGAATAAGAAAATAATAATTTAAAAGAATTTTAGAGACAATACATAGTGTCACTAGGTAGGACTGTAGGAATTCGCCAATGGATATTACACTACAAATTGTTGTTGTCACATAAATTGCTCAGATTACCAGATACAAACATGCAAAATTGGTCAAAATATTTAAAAAAAACTTTTAAACATTAACTGTTCCTCTCAACAAACCATTGGACACCAACAGTGCAGTTATGCCACTGATCCGTAGTATATAAAATGCTTTAGTACTTTCTTTTTCTTCTTTCCCTCATCCCAGTTGTTCCTTCCTTTGAGCAATTTCTTTCCCTTTCTTATTATCACTTGTACATTTTGGATTTTATTTACTCTTTCATGTTCTTACACCAGGGAGACAATATGATGTTTACACATGTGGGCCCAATTTATTTCACTTATGAGTGTGGTCTCTAGTTGCATCCACCTACCTATAAAAGCCACAAGTTTATCTTTTTTTATAGCTGAGTAATTTTGCTATTGTTCTTTTTTTTTTGGTACTATTTTCTTTAAAATAAAAAGGTAAAAAAAAAAGTTAAAATGATGAAATAAAAAAGAACTCCATCTTTACATTCATCTCTTCTAACATTTCACTAAAGCAGTCAAGAAGAACCAGACTGTTTTTCCTCCACCAAATAAATCCCTAGTTTCATTATTTGCAAGTTTGACCTTACACAAAACCTTGGGACACAAGACAGTTCCGCTCAGTGCTTTTTCAGTCTATAACCAGATGACCTTCCCTCTATTGTTGAATAATAACTTCTTTTTTTCCTTAAGGTATTATAAGAATACCATCCATCTTCTACCAATACTCCATACCAGCGTATAGGCTTTTCCTAGAAGGTTTCTAAGACTGAAGCTCTCTCTATAACTCTCTTCTTCTTTCTGAACCCAAATTATCCTCAGGAGTCTGTTCATGTCAACATAACCTTTATGTAACGGGAACCTCAAAAATCTTCTACCTACTACACATTGGGTTTGAAAGCAATGTGCACATTTGGAAATATTTGTCACAAAAGTGCATAACTCCAGGTATCAATTTTCGTTCTCTTTCTGTTTTGGCTGCTGTAGCAATATACCATATGCAAAATGAAATATAAACAATAGACATTTATTTATCCAAATTCTGAAAGCTATAAAATGTAAAATCTCACAGATAAAGATGTATGGGCAGATTCAATATCTAGCAAGGCTGTCTAATCAGTCACAGGCAACCATATGTTGTAACATGGCAGAGGGATAAATGAGCCCTCCAGGAGAACTTCTGTAGGAATACTGATTTTGCTCATGAGGGCACTTACCAAAGACCCCATATTCAAATATCAACACACAAGGTGGTAGCTTTCAACACGGGGAAGAGAGACGTTCACTCCATAGCACTTGCCGTTATGCACACATTGGACATAGAGGTTAAGAAAATATAGACAAATCACTATAGCTCACAATCCAACAGCTGGATGGAGTCATCTAGGTAGGATCATATGTAGAAAATGCTTAGCAGAAGAAGAGAGGTTTAAGATTTTTGAGGAATACAACATCTATTCCTATGATGTTTCTGAAACACCTGGTGCCTGGCCCCTGCTTTGAGCTACCAAAAATACATCCCTTTTCACTGTTTTGGTTTCACTAGCACAGATGAAAAGAAAATCATTGAAACAATAATTCTTCTTGAGGAAGGATTTTCTTCTCCCAGAAGGAAACTTAACGCTAGCCTAGCATACAATTCCATACATAAATAAATAAATAATTTCAAAAAGAAAACCGAAAAACTAATATCATTTTCACATTTCATTTTAGGTTTTTCACTTTGTTTCTGCCCCAGATGTTTCTGAACAGAAATTCTCACAGCCATAATAATGGCCATAATGATAAAAATTGTATTAAATGTATCTTGCCAGACAATGGGTTCTACATGCACTTACTTAATTCAATCATCACAAAAATCTTTGAAATTATGGCTTAGGGAACTGAGATTTGGAGAAGTTGAGAATATTGGCCAATCTGACATGGCAATTATATTGGCGGAGATTGAATTTGAAATAAGATATGCCTGACTCTAAACATTTTTTCTAAGTGGATTTGTTCTGTGACAGTACATCTACGAAGCCCAAGAGCTTGCATTTGGGCTTTCAGCTGGGAAGATTTGTCTTATGTTCAGAATCAATTTTAATCTTGTGAAACTGAAGCAGATATTGTTACATTTCATTCATTAAAATTACATAATGCCCTCATCTTCATAAACAGACAACTTTCAGAAAAGTGAAAGCAAACTCACAATGTTTTTTGCCTATGAATTTTTTAAAAAGCTAATTTTTCATGAGAAAAATGAATAAAACCACCTCCTCACCAAAAAGGTCATGTTAACATGAATTACTTTTTACCCATTGGTGCTAGACATTGTCCCAATGGATAGTGTCTTTCATAAGCCAGAACCAATCATGGAGGAGAAATTAATCATAAAGAAAACATGGTCACTGGTCATCAGATTATGTATTCTGCTTATAGGAATTACCAGTACTCTCCTAGCTTCCTTTAAGTCATGTAGATTTCTGTCTCATAATCTTAATCACCTACCTGGCTGATTGGAAATCTGCTGGGAAAAAAAAAGCTATTTAGAAAAAAATTGTTTAGAGTCAAACATATCTTTTCTTCCTCTGTAGAGCAAGGCATCTCAGTGAAACTCATGCATAGAAAAAATAGCTTTTATTACTTGACATACCCTCCAAAAGACATGCTGAAATCCTACTACCTGGTACCTTAAAATGTGACTACAGTTATCTGAGAAATAGATGACATCGCTTAAATTAAAATAAGGACATTCATACCGGAGTAGGATGAACTCAATCCAGTGTGACGATGTCTTTGTAAGAAGACAGTGATATGACAAAACAGAAAAAATATCATGAAAGAAACCCAAAAATGGAGTTATGCACCTCCAAGCCAAGGAACACCAAAGAGTTCCAGAAAATCACAAGTGTTTTTAATCCATTCAAGCTGCTATTTAAGAGATTAGACTATGTAGTTTATAAGCTTATAATAAATAAAAATTTGCTCTCATGGTTGTGGAGGCTGCTAAGTCCAAAATCTAGGATTCAGAGGATTCACTGTCTGGTGAGAGC